GTCCATGGAATTTCAAATAATTTAATATGAAACAATATCATTTGAAATGCTGGCCAGCCAAGGACCTGGGGGCGGGGGGCGGGGGTTGAGCTCCAGCCTCCTGTGGCCAGACACGTGAGACCCAGCCTCGGGGAATAAACCAAGTCATCATTCAACAGCGTGGTTGCGGGTCAGCTGCGTGGCTGTCCCGGGCCAGTCCCCTGGTTCCTGCCCTCCTGGCGTCCACCATCCCGACAGGCAAGCAAGAGGTGGCCAGTTCAAAAGCAGTGCCGGAGAGCAGGAGACGGGCGCTTAGGTGGCATATAATCCAAGCCAAAGGGAGGCCCAGATGGGCCACAGCGGGCCTTGTCAGGGGAGGCTCTGGGAGCTCCGGGACATCAGTGAGAAACAGAGGCATCACTGGCGGGGGGGGGGGCGCAAACAGGAAGATCAGGACAGAAATGGTGATGATTGTCAACCCCGCTTTATCTGGTACCGTCCGTGTGACCCTGGGCAAACAAGTCACTCCTAAGCCTCAGTTTTCTCATCTGCAATGTGGGAATAATTCCACTCCCCAGCTGCAGCATGGCTCAGAAGTCACTCACACGCGGCCCCCCAGAAACAGACATCCCCAATGGACAGAGGCGCCCCAGGAGGGGCTGTGATGCAGGTGGTGCCTGCAAGAGCGAGGTGGCGGGTGGGTGCCCTGAGGCCCGACAGCCCTGCGGTGGCTCCGTGCTTGTCTGGTGCTTTCTGGAAGAGTGGTGGAGGCCGGGCCCAGCAGACCCTGGTACAGCAGCGGCCGGCTTCTGCATGTCCTGCCTCAACATAAACACGATGGGAATATTTCAGGACCGTAAGAGCAAGAAAAACAAACCCAGGGAACCCAGACAGAGAGCGTGCAAATGCTAACTTTCATGTCACATCCAGAAACCACATGTTCATGAAGCCACCTGCGGGCTTGTAGCTCAGTGGGGAGGTGCAGCCTTGTTGTGTTTAGAAAGCCAAGCTAGCCGTACAGCTGCGGGGGACGTCCGGGCCGCCTCCCTCCACCCTCCCCAACACCGCTCCCTCTGCACACAGAGCAACCCTTGAGGCCGCCGAGGATTTGGGCGGGGGAGGGGGCACCCGTGCCTCTGGGTTTGAAATCACCTGGGAGGCAGTGGGACAGCAGTGGTCACTCCACATCACTGCAGTGCCACCCTGGGCACGTCCCCTCACCTCTCTGTGCACAACGGGGTCTGGAAAACACATAAGGTCACCTGGCCAGTGAGGGGCAGACCTAGAACTCAAACCACCCCGCCCCTGACTTTCCAGTCTCATGGCCAGACTCAGCCACAGCCCTGGGGAGGGCAGAGGAGAGGGCACAGCAGAGCTGCTGGCCCTGCGCACGCATCCATCTACCTGTGGGCTCGGGGAGGGCTGCAGATCCCTCCTCCCCTTTGAGGCGGCGATGCTGAGAAGCGTTATTTTTATTCCTCCCCAAGCCTCGCCAGATTACATTGTCAAGGCCAGCACTTTGGAGATATTTCCTTGGTTTCGCAATTCACGCGGTGACTAACACATGTTACATTTTGAAAACCTCTCTTGGTAAAAATTTAAGCTGAATTGAAAATACATAAAAGTCTCCGTGTTAATGGGGTGCGTGATTTCTCGGTGGCTGTTTTGTAATCCCAAGATTCAGAAAGGATGTGGAATTCTATAAGAATGCATAACGAGCACCTGTCCAGAGCTGCCCTTTGAAATCATCACTGCAGGCAGCAGACCTTACATTCGTCCATCACTATGTAAGTCACAAACCCCACTGCGTTCCCTGCCTCGTGGGTGCCGGGGCACTCGGGGGAGTGATCAGAGCAGGGGTTGCAGACGTTCACGACAGATGGTGGAGCCCCTCCCTGGGGCGCAGCCTCACGTGCCCACCTGGCTGCCAGGTGCTGGACGTACCCTACCTCATTTCAGTGCCAGTAGGGATCGGGTGACCGTGACAAAGCTGAGGCTCCAAGATGTTAAGACTTGCTCCAGGATGTAACCCTGATGAAGGACGAGCAGGACTCGATCCCAGGCTTTGTGTGTCTCTGCAGCGTAGGGTGTGGTGCCTGCGCCTGTCATGCCGCAGCCCCTGCGACGGGCACCCGTGGCCCGGGTCACCCACGCTGCACCGGCCTCGGTGTGCTGCCCACCTGGGACAGCCAAGGCACAGGCTGGACAGTGGGCGGGTCTCTGTTTGGGCATCTGAAGGAAGAAATGAAAGAGTGGGGCAGTTGGCTGCCGGGAACCCTGATGTCATGTGCACACCAGGACCATGGGGCACGTTGGGGCTGGCCCGGGAAGATGACGGGGGTGGGGGGAAGAAGGAGAGGAGCCAAGGGGTGGGAGAGACCCGCCACCGCGAGAGAGGCCGACCTCTGCAGGCTCGGCACCAGTGCCCGGAGCGTGGGCAGCAGCCTGTCTGCCTGAAGCAGCCCTTCCGGTCCCACCCGCACCTCCATCACACCTGCTGTTTATTGTTCAGTGGATAAGACTTACCAGTCTGCAGTTACCCTGTTTCTGTTTCATTTACCTGTTCAGCATCCATCTCCACACTGAACTGGAGACTCCGTGCATTAAGTGGCCGTCTGTTCCATGCCGTGTCGGTGAAGCCTGGCCCTGTGTCTGGGCACAGAAGCGTGGGAATTGTTTGTTGAATTCATGCACCTCTGAAAGAATGAGAGAGCCACCCCACTCTACCACAAGGCGGTGGGCAGTTTGAGTGGGTTTTACCTCCACGAGAAGCCCTAGCAGACACAAGGGCCGATGTTCCTCCTCCCACGGCCTTAGATGGGCATATCGGGGTGGAGCGGGCGGCCATCGGGGCACACAGGAGCCAGGAAGCTGCTGTGCCACTAGGGACACGTTTATGATACACTAAACTCCAGGACGAATATTGATTTTTCTTCAAAGTTCAGGGCATGTCTGTCTGGGTTTCTCTGGGCTCCCCGCCCATCACGGCCACCTGAGCTGCCTGACAAACCCGGACTCGAGCATCAGAACACTGTCTCCTGGATGCTGTAGGTCCCCCAGCCAAGGTGTCCACCCCGCAATGTTCTCGTAGCTTGGACTTTGCAGCCCCATGGCTGCAGCAGCATGCTAAAAGATGTGTCCATCCAAAGACAAAAGGAAAGGCTGAGAGGATGCTCTGAAGAAACCCACGGCCGTGCAAGAAGGGCTATTAACTCAGTCTGGGAAGCATCATACTTGCTTCTTTTTCCGTGATATCTAAGTAAGCAAGATGTGGTCTGAGCTCTCAAGACACACACACATTTAGGGGATAAACGGAGCGCAGGCAGACCCAAAGATAACCACAATACAGAGTGATGAGCACAAAAGTAAAAGCATGTCCAGGGCTCCGGAGGGAAGGACCAGCTCCAAATGGGGGTCAGCAAGGGCTCCCCAAGGAAAGGAATTTTCCATTGTCTTCCTTGTAATTTCAAGTCGGCATCCCCAGAATGCCTGTTACATTAGAGCCTCGCGGGCCCTTAATGGAATTACTCAGCTTTCAGTAACAGCGAGTTTGTCCAGGTCATGTGGGGAAGTACTTTAAAGTTATTCTTTCTTCTTTTTTATTATTGCAAAGACTTACAATGCTTGAAAAAGCTTTTTCCTTAATTCAATTACCAAGTGAGCTCAGTGCATTTGCTGGAGATAATTAAGAATCTTTATAAATATAAAACAATTATCCCATCAAAATACAGTGCTCCATATTATTATTCGAGCTCGCTTCTCAATCAGAACCACCCCCTCCCCTTTTCAAAGCAATTCGGAAGCATCCAGGCTGCTCCCGCAGGCAGAGCTCGCGGCCCCCCGCCGCTCCGTCCTGCCAGCCTCACCAGGATGCAACTGCTTGCCCACGTCCGCCCGCCCGGGAGCCCCAGCAGCCCACAGTCACAGCTCTCCTCACTCACCTCTCGGGTCCTAGACTTGGTCCAGAGCAGGAAACAAAAAAACAAAGTGACAGAGAGCAGAGAGGCCTGGGGAGAAGAGACAACGAAATGCAGGGTGGTGGCCTGGCTTGGATCCTGGAGCGCAGAGGACATTAGTGGGAAAACTGGTGAACTCCAAACCAAGCCTGGAGTCGAACTGGCGAAAACGGACCGATGTCGGTGTGGCTCTGCCGCCAAGCACACCGCAGTCACGCGTGGTGTTAACTCTGTTACGTTTCATGGCTTCTCTAGAAATCTGAAATTATTCTAAGATTAAATGTGGATTTAAAGAAACAAAGCCAAATGTGACTGAATGCGTAAACAAGAGGGCAGAATCTCACTACAGCTCAGCAGTCAGCCCCTCCGCCCCGCTTCCCTCCAGGGCTGGAGCAGCAATATGTAAGCAGGCGGGGAATGGAAAGGGGGACCCTCTCCAGGGCACCTCATCTGATAGCACTTCTCTTTGGTAAATACAGCAATTCTACTGGTAACCGGACAGCACTTTTCATAGCCATGTGTTGAATGTCAGGTCTAGCGAAACCGCCCCCAGCCCTGCGGGAGGACCCCTCACCCGCACACTTTCCTTGACCTCTGAGAGCCTGGGATGGGGAGGGGACAGGCCCGCTTAGAATGCCTCCGAGATGTGCTGTGACTTTCGTAAGCCCCTCCCACCATCATAATATCTGTATTTTTAAAAACTGTACAAGCCTATATTCAAATCCTTCAACTTTTTTTTTCTGCTTTAGGCAAAATGGAATAGATGTTCATTGGCCTCTAAAACAATGCATGTGGAGACACATTCTTGCTCCACAGCTCTGCCGCCTAATGGAGACGAGGGTCCCCGGGCCTCGCTTGCCAGCTAAGTGGGCTGGGGTGAGTTCTTCAGCAGCCCGTCTTCGATCCTTCATCTGAAATCCAGGGATAATGACACCTGTTTGCAGGCTTTTATGAGGACTGCTGAGCTAATGGGTGTGGAAGCACTAATCTGAGCCCGGCCCCGGGAGGAGATCGATGAGGAAGAGCTGCTTCTATAAGCATCCTTGCCCTCCGTGCAGACGGCAATATTTCTGTCTCCTCCAACGCTCCTGAGAGCCACAACTTGATTCTGCAAATAGGCCTCTGGATTTCATTCTTCAGGCTTCAGTCCGTTTGGCTCTCTTCACTACCTGAAACTCAGAGTCCTCAAACTGGGTCTGAAGCCCTGATCCTGGCCCCCGAGTGCTGCGTGGGCCCCTCACGTCTCACCCCAGCCCACTCCGCGCGATTTCCCGTTGGTGTCGGCCTCAGTGGGCCTTTCTGGATCTGGTCCTTCCCGCAGCCCCAGGCTCAGGTTCCCACGTTGTAATAAATACGAGGCGGGGTGTTTACGAAGGAACGGGGATTTGACCGCAGTCCAGGCTGAGCTCGGCCTTTCCCTCTGTTTGCCTTCCCCTCCTCCCGGGGCGGGCGGGCCAGTGGAGCAGGCCTGCGGGAGCCAACCCGGCCGGCCTGGGAAGTGCCGGGGCCGGACAAAGACTCTGGCATCTCCACGTCGGCGCTGAGCTCCCACCTGGGCTCTCTCTCAGTCCTGTTTCACGGATGGGCTCAGACAGGCTTGTAATTTTAGGCACTGCCATTGCTGAGGCTGGAGGACAGACTCATTCCCCGGCAGCCCCGCTAGCTCCTCCCAGCTTGTTTGACTCGGGAGGTTAGGCAAGAGCAGGTAGGAAAACTCTGGGTCAAACATAAGCCATTGCAACAAACTGACTCACACTTGACCCAACAGTGTATTCATCCAGCCGTTCCTCTCGTGGGCTATTTATTTATTCATTTATTCGGCAAATATTTATGGAGCAGCTAACATGTGTCCCTACCTTGTCACACTCTCAGGCTTCTCCCTGGGCCGGGTCACTGCTGTGCCCTTGCACCCCAACCCCAGATCCTTCCCGACCTGGTCAAAGGTTACCTTTTCTGGGAAGCCTGTACCCGATCCAGGTCAGACGCAACCCCTCTCTGTCCCCAGGGAGGCCAGCAGGACCGCTGGCTGTGGGGTCACGGGGCCTGGCTAAGAAACAAGGCTCCAGGACACCCTCATGTGTGTCTTTGGGCAGGTTGCCGAAGCTGTCTACTCGGTTTCCTCATCTGTAAAGCGTGGATAATGCTACTACCAATACTCACCCCCTAAAACAGGGTGCCCGGGGAGGCCGCATAAAACAAGATAGACACTGCTGGCTGCGGCTGCGCTCGGGAGACAGTAGAGGAGTCACCCAGGGGCCAGAACTGAGGGGGAGCTGAAAGCAGGTGATGAGAGGGCTGGTCCTGATGCCAACGTGACCCCAGGCCATCAGGCAGACCCAGTGCCCTCACAGTGTAGGTCTCAGGGGTCGTCAGGGACAGGAGAGAGGGCCTTGGGCACGTGTAGGGTGGGGTGTTGGGACTGCCATCCTTGCTCAAAGCCAGGGCCTCAGAGGGCTCCCACTGCAGGGACGGAAAAGAAGGGAAAATCCACCTTTTGGAACAACGGAGACGTCCAGTGCCACTCGAGTCAGCCCTCTTCCTCTAGGCACAGAGGGACACATACCCTGCCGCTTTCCAACTGGCCTGGCCTTGGGACTGGTTCTGGCTAGTGGGTGCTGAGAAGAAGAGGTGTGAATCGCTTCTAGACTAAAGCAATAAACAGCCAGCACCAGACTGTCCCGCGCCGTCTCCACCCCACTTCTTTGCGCCTATGGAGGCCACACATCAAGACGGCAAAGCTGTGCTGGGATTGAGGCACTCTGGGTCACTGAGGTGCTCCACGAGGGACAGTTGCCTGGAGAGTTGCTCAGATTCCCTGCAAACGTTGCAGGAACAGGCAGTAAGCCTTTACTGGGTTTAGCCAGTGGGAGGGGTTGTTTGTTAGTGAAGCAGGACGTACAGTGTCCTGACTAATACAGCCGGCAAAGGAGATGACAAGCAAGTTTGCCGTCTCTACCTAGGATCTCGATGGAGAAAGCCAGTCTCCTCTGAGAATTCATATCCACAGTCCTCACTTCACAATAGTTTGAGGGTCCAATTTACACTGCCTTTGGTGGCCCGAGAAACCCCAAACTATGAAGTTAATTCAAAGATACTTCCAATAAGTTTCTACTCCTGGAGTCAAATTCAAATGCCCTCCAACCTGGCTTCAGAGGCTCCCCACAGATCTAGATCCACCAAACAGGCAGTCCCAATGCCAGGTCAAAACCCCAAATTCATCAAATAAATGTAACTGCTAATTAGGGCACTTAAATAAACACTTCTTTAATGTTTTAAGAAGTGAAATTGAGACCCAAAACTATGAGGAATTAGCAAAGTACTATCAAAAAAGACCAAATAAATTTGAAAAGAACCTAACAGAATTGGCCATGGAAATCTTACTAATGGTATTAAAACCTTAACATTTGGTGAAATGGTGGATTTGACCCACCTGAAAACAGAATTTGTGAAATAAAAACTGCAATGAAAGAAATTACCTAGTGACACACAGAGAAAAAAGAGGGCAGAAAGAAGAAAGAGGTTAAGAGACACGAGGACGGAATTAACAGTAAGCTGTCATCCAATCGAAGTCCTAGAAGAAGGTGATGGGAAAAAATAGGGCTGCAGGGAGAGCCGCTTGGAGGTGTAACGGCTAAGAATTTTCCAGGGTTCATAACAGTTGGGAATCTTTAGATTCAAGATGCACGGGGAGTCTGGAGTGGGAGAAATAGGAATAAATTGATGCCTGACGTCTCCAAGTGAAACTGCCAGGGTACCAGCAACAAAACAAAGGCATAAGAGCAGCCGCTTATTCCTTCATAGAAAAGAAATATTCTTCCAGCACCTACTAGGTGTCAGGCATCCATGTAGACACTTGGGATACATCAGGAAAAAAATACACAGAATTCCTTCTTTTTAATTTAATTTTATTTATTTTTGGGAGGGGGTGGTAAATTAGGTTTATTTATTTATTTTTAGAGGAGATACCGGGGAT